CCTAAAAAACCTCTTCCTCTCCCTCCCCCCTCCCCTCCCCCGGGAGTCCCGCTCTCCCCGCACTTTCTTCCCCCCGCATCCCCTGCCCTCCCCTCCTCCCGGGAGTCCCGCTCTCCCCGCACTTTCTTCCCCCCGCATCCCCTGCCCTCCCCTCTCTTCCTGCTTCCCCTCCCCTCCCCTCCCCACCCTGAAGGGGTTCATCCTGGATCCGCCTATGAACTGATTCGGCTTCTTTGTATACCCCATCTATGTTGGTGCGGGGAAAGGTGTAATGCTGTTTATATACCTCCGTTTATGTGGTTGGTGGAGGAGGTAAATTTCAGACATCAGCATGGCGACAGCAGCGGTTGACGTGAACCAGGGAATCACGGGCCAGCGAACGGCTACCATCCGAAACTATACCACTAATCCTCGACTTAGTAAGTGTGCTTCACTCTTTTCACTTAAATACCTGATTTGCACTGTGTAAATTTCTATGTAGTAGAAATGTAATAGGAAATAGAAGAATGGAAGGATTTCACTTGAATGCCATGCGTATGAGAAGACATTTTACGATGCAGTCTGTCTATGTTTCATCCCTTAGCTGTAAACACAGATCGAACGATGTAAATTTCAAATACCATTTTTTGCCATTAATAATTATTAAAATAACTACTTTTACTAATTTCTTAATGCTATTTTCTCTTCTGCATTCTGCTTCCTATTTCAGAATACCTTTCCAGTTTCTTTGGACCCCTTTTAGTTGAACCGAAACGTTCGCATCCAGATTTTAATCTTATTTTATTTACATTTTCCTTTTTATGCGTTTTTGCTTCTCTTTAGCAGCGCTATAGCGCTGCTACAGCCAGCAAAAACGCATATTTTCGAGAGGCTGTGTGTGTGTTCGTAAAGCGAGTGCATTTTGTCACGCACTTTCAACTCGGCAACCAGGAAAGCTGGGAAGCTGAAACTTCGGATATATGTTCCTACCTCGTGTGTCATTCTCCCATTTTAAGATCTTCCCCCTTACGCGGTTAAATCCCGCGTACGGGACCCCCAAAGAAATGTTGGTGGGAAACGATTTCGCTGAAATTTTGCAGGGATATTCTCTATGCACGTGCGAGGCAAGAATTTTAAACTCAGCCCCCTAGCTCCCCAACCACAGCCTCAAGCAGCTCCTCAACCCAAAAGTCGTTATTAACTCGGACCTGAACCCCAACTGCATGTGCAAGTGAGCGTGCATTTTTAGCAACTCGGACCGGAACGCAATTGTATATGCGAATGAACATGGATTTTTTGAAAAACGACCGCTCGAACAATACTTTCGATTTTTCAATGAACTGAAAATTTGCATATTTTCAAAAATTCGTTCGCAGCTTGGACCTTAACCGCAATCGTATATGTAAATGAACGTGCATTTTTTTTACAAACGACCGCGCGAGCAATACTTTCAATTTTTTGAACTCGAAATTTGCATTTTTTCAAAAAATTTGCATTTATCATTTTTTCACAAAGCGAGCATTTACCAAAAAAACGACCGGCCTTCATGCAAAAAACCGGTAATCATGCACCTGGATGTGCACCACGTTCATCCCAACTGATGCCCTTCTTCCTGCATGCCGATAAGGATCAAAACACGGCCAATATTAGCCCAAGTGTTAAGCTACAGAGGGATCATTCCTGCTAATAGCGATCTGCGAGTTTAGTACAAAAACGCTTGATCGCACCGGAGAGCCTGGTGCGTTCCAGTCTGGGTTTATTTCCTTACATCTTTCATAAACATATACCAACTAAAAATTGAAAAACAGGAAAAGCTGGGTAGCTTGCCGGAAATCTTCACCCTATGCGTTTCGTTATTTATACCTTAGTCTTCTACTTATACTACATTCAACCTGGTTGCTTCAATCTGCTTATTTGAAAGTTAGTAATAGTTAAAGAAAAAGTAATGTAAAGAAAGAAAGAAGAAAAAAAAATGAAGTAGGAAAAAAATGAAAAAGAGAAAGTGGGAAAGAATTTTTTTTCCAAATTTTTTAAAAATTACTTTATAAAAATTTTTTTTAAAAAAATTGGTAAGAAATGTTCCGGTCCGCATCCTGTGGTACTTTCTTCTCTCATAGAGAACAAATACGATCGGATCTTTTCTTGACTTGTGTATGGAGCGTGCTTGTAACAGCACTGCCATTTCGGCACAAATTTCACAGCATCGTTGATGTGTCACCGTCTTACTGCAGCTTTCTTATTGGTTTTTCTTTTTTTTATTGCAATTCTTGTTGTGTTGCATTTTCTAGCCTACAAAACGGTAACTGGTGTCAACGGTCCGTTGGTAATTTTGGGTGATGTGAAATTTCCTCAGTATGCAGAAATTGTGCAACTAACGCTTCCCGATGGTACAAAACGATCTGGACAAGTGCTTGAAATCACGCGTAATAAGGCTGTTGTACAGGTATCTTGAAACAAATTTGCTATAATAAAAATGCAGCTGTGCTCGAAAGCTGTAGGCGTACTAAAGAGGCTAATTCCTCAAGGTTCTGAGCAGCCGAAGCTGAAAACTCCCGAAATTTTAGTTTACTAGCTCCTATGTTCTCGGTGTAAAAAGGATATAACAGAATGGGGACCTTACTAATGCGTTTTTTCTAATATTTGCAAAAAAATGCAAAAATCGAAGAATTTAAAAAGTGAGAACAAAAGCATTTAAGGTCAAGTGAAAATTTTGTTGGAAAATGTAGAAATGGATGATAGAAAAGGTCAAAAAAGGGTAAAAAAAGGGGAAGAAGTAAAAAAGAAGTAATAAATTAAGTAAGAAATGTCTACGCTTGGGTCCTTACTAATGCATTTCTTTTGAAGCTTGCAAAAGAAAAATGCAAAAAAAAATGTTTAAAAATTAGGAGAAAAAATAGTATATCTTTGGGCTACGGTTATTTTTTGAGGTTTTCGAGGGGACTGCTGGAATTGATGCAAAAAATACATCATGCGAATTTACTGGCGATATCCTACGAACCCCTGTCTCCGAAGATATGCTTGGCCGTATATTTAATGGTTCTGGTAAACCAATTGATAAGGTGAGATGCAAATCACTTCTGGTTAATTTTGGTCTTTCACTTTCAGATTTTTGCATAACTGTCAAAATGCATTTTTCTTAAATCTACTTACGGATTTTGATAGGATTCGTTTGGGCGAGCAGCGATTCCTAGTAAAAGTTCAGATATCCTGGACCTGATCAATAATCGCCTGATGGATTGTTGTTGTTGGAATCTGTAATGATGTTTTAGGGTCCACCGGTTTTGGCGGAAGATTTCCTGGATATCAATGGTCAACCAATAAATCCACGATCACGAATTTATCCCGAAGAAATGATTCAGACGGGAATTTCGGCAATTGATGTTATGAATTCAATTGCTCGTGGCCAAAAAATTCCAATATTTTCGGCTGCTGGTCTTCCACACAATGAAGTATGTTGATTTTATGCTTTTTTTAAAGCTAATTTTGGTGGTTTTTACTAATGTTTGGTATTTTTTTAGATCATTTAAGAGATAGAGACCAAGATCAAAGGACCTGGCACAGCTGAACCAGGGCATTCGATAAGAAATGTATACGACTTAATGGACCGAAACATTTCTTACCTACAACAAATATTTTTGCTCAGTCCCCTTTCCCATCTTATTACCCTTTTCCTTGTTTCCTTTGTTTTCTTTCCTTCTTGATATTTTCTCTTCAACCTTTAATTCTGAGCATCTAGTGACATCAGTAACAAGCTGAATTTGAAATTTTTAAATTGCACTTGGACAGGGAAC